GGGGGGAACGTTGGGGGGAAGGAAGGAGGGAAGGAAGATGGGAAGGAAGAGGGGAAGACGAGGGGCGGGGGATTTGGGGAAGAAGAGCCCCAGGGGGAATAAACCGGGGACGAAGATGGGATGAAACGCGGGACGGAAGGGAGGGAGAAGGCACGGGGAATGTGGGAAGGAGGAGAAAATGGCAGGGAGAACAAGATGGCAAGTAGGAGGAGGGGGAGAAGATGGCAGGAGGAGGAACTTCAAGATGGTAAGGAGCTGGAGTAGTGGGGGAAGGAGAGGGGAAGAGGAGGATGAAGAAGATGACATGGCAAGGTTGTGTGTAAATGTGTGAGGAGGAGGAAGGAAGAACATGGCAAGGAGCAAGAGGAGGCATGGAGGAACGCGGGGGGAACCTGGGGGGGAAGAAACAAGGGAAGGCGAGGGGTGGGGGATTCGGGGAAAAAGAACCTCAGGGGGAAGAAGGCGGGGTCGAAAATGGGATGAAACGTGGGACGGAAAGGAGGGAGAAGGCGTGGACGCGGATGGGATGGAACGCGGGACGGAAGGGAGGGCGAAGGCGCGGGGAATATGCGAAGGAGGAGAAGATGGCAGGAAGAAGAAGATGACAAGCAGGAGAAGGAAAGGGGAGGGAGGAGTAAGATGGTAAGGAGCTGGACTAGTAGCAGAAGGAGAGGGGAAGAGGAGGAGTAAGAAGATAACATGGAAAGGTTGTGTGTGTATGTGTGAGGAGGAGGAAGGAAGAACATGGCAAGGAGGAAGACGAGGCATGGAGAAGCCGGAGGGTACAGGCAAAACATTTCTCATAGAAAACGATTAAATAAAACATATAAGGCAGGTTACAAACACAGTCCTCAATCCCTACATCCACGCAAGGAAGAGGACCTTTTTGCTATCGTTCTTGCCTGGACTTAAGATTCTAGGGCTCTGTCTGTAACCTTGGCTGAGGAGGAGGACGATGCAAAGAAGATGGATGATATAGGCCTACATTAGCCTTTGCAAATGACACGAACGAAACAAGTCAGCCAGGTTACAAATACTGAATTACAAGAAATCTGGCAACTTATTAATAAAACCATAAATCTGTCCTGCTTCGATCCTCGAAGGAGTGTATTTCGTTTTTATTTGTAATCCAAGTTTATAGCACTATACTTTTAAAAATAGCAGTTTAAGATTTGAAAAAACATGCAAATCTTAAGAGTTATTCTTACAGCGAAATTATCAAATACAATTCTTTTCTCTCTCTCTCTCTCTCTCCATGTTTGTAAATTTGTTTATTCGATACTCCTTACGATCTACACTGGAACCACGGTCATTAAGCAACTACGACGCTGCTCGACGCTGCTTTCTCTCTCTCTCTCTGTTTGTATCTGTATGTTTGCTCTCTGAGCTACAACGACGCTCAACGATGCTCGTCCTCTTTGAATTTTTTTTTTGTCGCTCCCGACCTTGCGGAGTCTTTCTCACAATTCAGAAATCTTGTAGCGGGGTCATCCAAATTTTCCTAGTTTGGTCTCCAAGAAGTGAAATTCCGTATTCAACCCGTAAGCGGGTGCTTGGCGTTCAATATTGTTTGTTTTACCGGGTCGTGGCTCTCCGAAATTTGGTCGCCAGCTCTCTAAAATTTCAATTTTCGAGACGACCGTTGATGATAAATCTAAATTTTAACGATGTTCTTGACGACGATCACAGTGGCTGGACGGACGAAATTATTTGTTTTGGCGGGAGTCCGGGCTCTCCGAATTTTTGTCACTAACGGTCCAAAAATTACACTTTTGCAAAAACCTTGGCGGAAAATTGACAACTTTTAAAGATATTCTTTACGGGGATCCCAATAGCTGGGCGAGGCTCGTGACTTTCCGAAATTTGGTCACTAACTCTCTAAAATTTCAATTTTCGAGACGACCGTTGGCGGAAATCTAAATTTTAACGATGTTCTTGACGACAATCCCAGTGGCTGGGCGGTCGAAATTATTTGTTTTGGCGGGAGCCCGGGTTCTGCGAATTTTTATCCCTAACGGTCCGAAAATTACACTTTTGCAAAAACCTTGGCGGAAAATTGACAACTTTAAAAGGCATTCTTTACGGGGATCCCAGTCGCTACCGGCTTAAAATTTGTACTTCTCCAAAATTCGTTGGCGGGAAATCCAAAATTGCGAACGATGTTCTTGACGTGGGTCGCAGTAGCGGGTGTTCTCATTTTATTTCGATTTAGTCTCCAAAAAGTCTACGCCCGTTAGCGACGCTCTTCCGGTCGTCCTCTGACACACTTTCTCGCGCTAACACCGAGTCTTCTCTTTTGTAGGTAACGCCATTGTCATTTCTAGATGCCAGATAGGTTGTCGTATTATATCTTCCATGTCCAAGAAGTCTATGCCCGTTAGCGACGCTCTTCCGGCCGTCCTTCGACACACTTTCTCCCGCTAACACCGAGTTTTCTCTTTTGTAGGTGACGCCGTCGTCATTTCTAGATGCCAGATAGGTTGTCGTATTATATATTCCTGCCATGGATTCAGAGTACACACAAGATTAACCCTGTGAGATGGTTTCCAGACCTTTCTCAATGTAAGAAGAGTGTTGATGCCAAGAGTGTCAAAACGAAGAATAGCAGGTGGTTTCCGGACCTGCGTCAATGTTGTACACGCGGAGGCGAGAAGCAGAACCCTCTACCGAAGCTCAGTGCAACTGGTGAGAGGACCACCAATGTCTGTTTGTTTCCTAAGCGTCCGCGATCGAACACTACAACAAGAAAGGTTATATTGCGCCATGCCGAGCAGCAAACACAGTGATGGGTCTCTGCGCAACTGGCAAAACGGGGAGTACAATCCAGATAGAGCGCCCAGGGAAGCGGCAGTGCCCGAACGTTGAAGGCGAACAATCCAGAGAGAGAGACGATGTACAGGACATGAGCGAGAACTTTGTTGTGAAAGAAACGCTCTACGACAGCGTGGCGCAAGAATTGCGTGACAACGACACTGAGGAAGAGGAACCCAGTGACGACGATGATGAGGAGGGCGAATCGAGCGACGACGATGATGAGGAGGAGGAAACGAGCGAGGATGCCGATTCAGAAGACACAGACTCTGAGGATGATGAAGGGAAGAACGAGTCGGGAATTGATATCGATATGTTCAAGAAGAGTCTATATGGAGAACTTTTAGGAGAAGCAAAGCAGATAATAGCACAGGAGGTGAGAAGAGGACTGTACAGCAAATCAAGCAAGAGTGAGAAACCTCCTTACAAGTTGGGAAAGTGCGGCAGGAACGCACGTGTGTACAACAAGAAAGCTAACTACCACGTGAACATTAAGAGTGTCGAACTAGTTCTGAAGGAAGATTGCTGCAAGGCCAACTGTTACAAGAAGTTTACGGCGGTAGACGTTTTCTACAAGCGCGAAGAATTTTGGGCGATGAAACAACTTGAGCAACTGAACTTCTTTCTCGCAGAGATGAGGATTGCGTCGTACTTTTCGGATGAGGGAGATTTAGAGGTGTTAAGGGTGACGTTCAACGGTGTAAAGGCTTGCACAAAAGTGTGGGGAAAGTTGTACGAATGCTAGACTACACGTGTTGCAAAGATACGCAAAGAATTGAGAGAAGGAATGGTGATGTACGAGCATGCAAACAAAGGATCAGTCGGATTATCTGCTTCATCACAACAAATTCTCGCCTGGTTGCATGAATATTTCCGATACAATACAGAGAGTATGCCAAATAGCGACCAGTTTCATCTTTCAAATACTCTCCGACGCAGAGACGTGTACGACTTCTTCAAGCAAGACTGCAAAGATTTGTACACGAATAAGACTCTTTCTTCCCGTTCCAGATTTATGACCATTTGGAGGGGTTCACTGCCCGAAAGTTCTTATTCCTGCATTGAAGAGGTTATCGGTCTGTTCCACATGTCTGAAATTCAAGACAGGCCGTTCACAGGCAACAAGTGCATTCGAACGAGGTAATGACATAACCTCAGTGCTTATTTTCTCTCCCTCTGTCTTCCTCACCATTCTTCTCTCTCTCTCTCTCTCTCTCTCTCTCTCTCTCTCTCTCTCAGTGTTCATTCTTCGACGTTTGCCACAACGCGACTGATTGTTTTGAATTATATCCCTTTAAGTTGTTTTTGCAGAAGGTAGAGGCTGTGACTTGCACATTTACGGAAGGATTCTCATGGAACTCTTCTTCGTTTCCCCTATTTCTTCTTCTTCTTCCTCTCTCTCTCTCTCTCTCTCTCTCTAAATGTTCTTCCTGTAGAAAGAAAAATGAATCTCGTGTCAGCGCAAACTGGGGAGAATTCTTATGGAAGTAGTAAGTTCGGTAAAGAAATAGTTAAACGCCTTCTCTCTGTCTCAGTTATAGTCCTATAACACTTTGTCTCTTATTCGTCTTCGACTTTTCAGAGTTAAAGCCCTTTACCACTTTATCTAATAATCGTCTTCGTGACGCCTGCGTTGCCTTTCCCGAACTCGTTCAGTCAATCAAAACAGAAATTTTGGGGAAGAATGAATTGAAGATTCTACGACGTTTGTGGACTTACTTTTCTAAGTTATAGCCCTATAACACTTTGTCTAATAATCGTCTTCGACTCCTCAGAGTAAAAGCCCTTTAACACTTTATCTCTTAGCCGTCTTCGATTTTAAAACCCTTGTTATTAGTGACGTCTGCGTTGCCTTGCCCAAACTTCGAATGTTATGATGCATGACACTTGTGGACTGACTTTCCTGAGTTATAGCCCTATAACACTTTGTCTAATCATTGCTTTCGATTTTAAGGCCCTTCATCTCGCTTTGTCTCTTTTCTTTAACATGTTTTGACAAAGTAACCGCTTGTTTTGTTATTTGCGCAGAAATGTTTGGCAAGGCACTAGAGAAGCACCGGTTAATGCAAGCAGAAGAGAGACAAAAACTCAGTAAGCATCGCCACAAGGCTTCAAGTCATCCGTCAGAGTATGTCACAATGATCATTGATGGGATGGATGAGAGCAAAACTATACTGCCACACTTCACTAGGGTTACAAAGAATTTGAAACTCAAAGAAGGGAACTTTGTGAAAGTTCACGTGGTTGGGGCTAAGGTGCTAGGACTTTCATCGAACGCCTCTGCAATTGTTTTCTTTGACAACTTCAAATCAGATTTTAATTGCATGCTAACTGTTCTTCATCGTCAGATTTCTCAACTTCCTGTACCATTTCCGAGAGTCCTGTATCTTACACTCTGAAACACTTCGAAAAAGAACAAGAACAAATTTGTGTTGTCATATCTCGTGTTCTTGGTGAAAATGAGAGTGTTTAGTAAAGTTAAGTTAAACTTTCTTCTTGTAGGTCACACGCACGAGGACATCGACCAGATGTTCAGCTGTTTCTCGAGAAAGTTGGTTGCACATGGTGCGTTCGAACAACACGTGATTAAGGAGTCGTACAAGGTAGAACAAGATCATGGCGTGCACGTTGAGGAGATGACGAAAACAATGGACTGGAAGTTGTACGTTCAGGATCATCTACATAATATCAATGATATTAGCTTCAACCAACATTTTCGAATCAAGCGCAACGACAACGGGGAGGTGCGCATTTGGAGCAAGCAATATCATAACTCGCAGTGGCAGCCGAACGACAGAGAAGGTCTGGACATCTTCAAGTTAGAGCCAACATGACAAGTTCAAGCTTCGCCAAAGCATGCAATCCAATCTTTGGAAGCAAGATATCGACTTACTTGTCGCAGTGAGGACGAGAGGCGTGATAAGGTCGTCAGCAGTGAAGGTCATGTCCATAATCGAAAAGCGGGAGGATCTTCGAAATTCAAGGTTGACGATGATGTACTTTCCATCGCCGCCTTGAAAGCCAACGTACATGCCCTGTCGCATTACGCTTAGCAACGCAGGAAACTCTCGACCTTGAGGACACAACCTCAAAGAGCCTTTCGCGTGGCCCTCTATAACAGCTGATGTCAGCAGAGCAGGTGAAGAAGTTCCACCAACTGCTAACGGCTTTGACCAACGCTGGGATCATTTGTTCCCTCCTGAGAGACCCATCAACATCGGCGCACGAAAGAGCAAACAGTTTCAAGAGGACAGAGACGAAAAGTATGACGATCTCGAGGTCAACACTTTCATCGCATTACGAGTTTGTTCGGGGCAGGAAGAGAGAGGCAAACCTTACCACATTGGCAAGGTTGTCGAGCTGCTAGCAGGTAAACGATTCAAAGTTGCTTGGTTTGCACAACGTGAGAAAGGAGAGGGTTACTATCCTCAGTTCAAAACAAATCCTCAAGGAAAGACTACGAGAGAGCCTTCCGAGGACGTCTATGACTGGAGCTGCGGCGTTCTTTGTTACAACTTCCAACTGAAGACAGACATGACCCTCTTCTCGCAGACCAGACAAAAGATCTCCGAGATGTTGAATTCCATGGCAACGGAGGATGTCCACTAGGAAGACCTTCTAGAAACCGATTGCTTCGAAGGTTGGCAGAGTGTCATCAAGATCGAGGTCATTTCTGCTCCCGCATCATATCAGGTTTTCTTTTGTCGCTGTTCAACAAATTATCTGAGTCTAGTCATTAGCGACTTGTAAATTCTTGTAAATATGTACAACAGTAGGTTGCAGTTAGCAGCCAGGCACGTGTGGCCAACCTTTTTGTTATCTGAGTCTAGTCGTTAGCGGCTTGTAAATTCTTGTAAATTTGTACAACAGTAGGTCGCAGTTCGCAGTCTGGCACGTGTGGTCAACCTTTTTGTTTTCCCGATCTTTTCCAAATGTACTTTGCGGTTTTTCACTTTACAATTTTGATATTTTGAAAATTGACTCGCGATTTGCCGTGTGGGTTCCGACTTTTCGATTTGCGGTTTGTCATTCATTTTTTGACCAAAACATTTGTCACATTAACAATTGTCGATTTGCAGTTTGTCATTCAAACTCTCACGACGTATGCTCTTTTCTACTTCCCGCGAAGTCGTGTTAAAGGCCTACAAGGTCGTGTTCGATTTTCATTGAATTTTTACGACGTTCAACATTGTGTTTATAGTGCTTCAAACACCTCACCGATTACGGAATAATTTTTTTACGCCCGCCAAGCTTCGTGTCAAATTCTCGCGAAATTATGCTATTTTTCTACTTCCGTAAAATTCGCGTTATAGGCCTATAAGGTCTTGTTCGAATTTCGTGGCATTTTCACGACTTTTAACACTGTGTTTTTAGGGCTTTAAATACTCGACTAATAATGTACTAAAATTATATTTTTTTTGTACTTTCCCAAAATTCGCATTATAGGGCTTTAAGGTCGTGTTTGAATTTCGCTCAATTTCCATGATGTTGAACATTGCGTTTATAGGGCTATAAACATTTGACCGATTGCGGCCTAAAATTATTCTATCCGTTTTTCGTTTTCAAGCACTCGTTATAGGCCTATAACTCAAAAAGTGCGGTTTTCGAATTTCGAGAGAATTTTCCAGGGTCTCTTTCAAATCTCGCGAGATTCGACTCTTTTCTGCATTTGTGCAAATTCGAGTTATAGGCCTATAAGATTGTGTTTGGAAGTTGTTGAATTTTCGTGACGGTCGAACATGGTCAATTTAGCTGTCCACAACTTTTGGAGATTTGAAATCAGTTGTGGTTGGCTGTTTTTGCTTTCCTCAGCATCCCGTTTTTTTACTACCTTCGCTTTGAAGCTTCTATTTCCTTAGTATTATGAGTGCAAAGAAAGAGACTCTGTTCGCCTTGCCAGATTTTCGGTTAGTTTTTACGTCCTTGGATCAGGTTCCGGAAAAGACTCTTCTGTTTTGAAACAAAATACTACTTCCAGTGTAAAGTACTGACTGGTCGTTTCATTTTGCACTGAAATCTACATAAATTGAAGATCTTTTCGTTGGCCATGAGTAGGAGTCGCCTGTTCGCCTCCAAAATGGGGTCTTTTTTCCACGTTGCAGTCGACCTCGTATATTTACTGATTTTTAGGGAGGGTTTCGATGACATTTGTGCACGAAACGGTGCAAAATCCACCTTTACTTCTAAAAAAATGCTATGTTCCATTGACGTTTTTCTGTCTATAGGATTTCTCTGGTTTTGGTCTATTTCTCTGGTTTTCACGAATCCATTGTTTAGTCATGAGTACGTATATAGTTAAACATATATAGTTGAACAAATCTCAACTTAAATCGTCCCCAATTTCACAAGTGTTATGATCTCTCTGACTAGGGCTAAACGCAAAAGGTCTCAATCACAAAACAACCGTATCCTTCGACTCAGAGGAATCAAAGCAAGCTCAAGACATACCTAATATCCAGAGGCGAAAACGGAACACACTAGGCCTCAAACTTATGATCACCTCGAATCCAACTGCTATACATGTTTCTTTCTCATATATACCGGCACATAAGCGAATATATCCCTGCAACTCATGGCAATACCCAAAAAAAAAAAAAAAAAAAAAAAACCGTACGTACAAAAATTAGGCAAGTATCACAATCAAAAAGTAAATCAAAGTCTCTAATAAGAGCATACTCTCACGGGACCTCTCAATGCGCTCCGGACTATGTTCCAAGATCATATGTTCAACGAAATCTTTCCCTCAACAACTTATACAGACACGACGGTCACTTTCATACTTGAATCATGCTCTACCCACTCTACCCTCGAGCAGATACAAGAGCTCCCGATGCGTTTCTTCAATTCAACGTAGAGACTTCTATGATACAACATACACACACAATACTCCAAATATTCGCACACATATCTTCTAATTACTCGGTAAATAGTAATGGTCTTGCTAACTAAAACATGGAGTTAGGATCACACAATCACTTAGCCTGTTGCCCTAACTCCTATGTCTACGTATATACAACTGGACTTTATTAAGAGCGGTCCAAATGATCTAAGGTCAATTTCTAGCTGAAAGCTTCTCAAGTCTAGTGGTTAGGGTTAGTTTCCTTTTTTCACTATTGTACTTTACCTAGCCTTATCCCTTTACTGCTACTATAAACAATATACAACTCACCTAGATAGAGCTCTCAAGGTTAACCATAGACAGACAGTAATTATTTCTACAACCATCATAGACCCTCGCACTCGTATTGCATGGTAAGGCGGCCGTAAACAAGCCTGCGAGAGAAGCACTTAGCAGACTATGTGGGCACTCTCTATCGGCCTGCTACTGCCCGAATTTCATCCCAATTTTGAGCTCTCTCGTTTGGGTCATGGGAACTAGCATAAGCGTCAACCACATTGACCATATTCCTGAACCCATGACTAGGGGGTAAAAATCTTAGGTCTAAGTATAGGCCATAGATCATTTCACACGTATAACGCCTATATCCCCATTCTCGCGCTCTCAACGCTGCTTCTGCAGCAGCCTCTACCCTTGCATGTCCCCCAAAACACTTATCTACGAGGAAATTAGGCAGAACGACTCTTAACGGGGCTGAGGGAAGTACAAACTCTTCAGCACGCTTAACCTCTACATGGGTTTCCACCGGCTCTTCTCCCTCACGAACTCTGTCTCTCGCCCATTTTGCTGCAGCTGCCTCAGCTACCCTCAAGGGTCTCGTAAGCAGACTCTCATGCCCCAATGCCAACTCAATCCCATGCAGGACCCAAAATGATGGCGGAGCGTTTAGGGTCACCCTCACAATCGAGCAATCCTGATTATCATCGAAACCCAACTCGATCCAGGCGAAAATATCCATATCCATTTGTACGCCCCACCAAAAGGAAATATATTCCCCCTCTTTAACCCGTCTTGGCAAGGACATCTCGAGTCCGCCTTCCCTTTCAGCTGGCAAGGCCATATTGGGATCTTCCCTAGCGTAAGGCATCCTGAGCTGCCTTAGCTCTGTCTGGGTTCTCCCCATCACAGACAAACGTCCAGCATACGCCTTCCGTTACAATGCTGGCAATCGCATTCTACGACCTCAACTGCTAAAGCCTTAGCCTCAAGTAATCTTTCACTAAGTTCATCATTTCTAGTATTTATGACCATCCAACTTAGAAAAACTTATAGTGATAATATACCATAATAATTGTTAATTCACAGATATCAAAAATATTTTATAATAATAATAACCCTTGGAAAATGATATATCACCTTTTAGTAATTGACAAAAATAATATTCGTAAAAATCAAATACATCCTACTCAGGCCAGTCAATCACTAGAAGCATAGACAACCACCTCATAGTGGTAAACCTACATCAACAGATATATCATATGATAGATATGTTATGATTAAAGATGAAATCGTCAACCAATAGCACTCTCAGACATAATAATAATGAACGTATCACATTCTACTCCCCAGCTTTGACAGAAGTATACTGTGGCGAGGGGCAGTGTAATCCTTTTCATAATGGATAACATCTTAAATCCCTGAGCCCCGCTCAAGGATTAAGCCTCACTCTTGCTCCCTCCGATTCTAGCATTCGTTCCTCGCAGACCTCTGCCGACAAAGTAAACAACCTCACCATACACGCTTCGGGATGTATTGTCCCGTCCTATGCTGGCGAACCCACTTGTCACAAAGATAGTTGGGGATTCAATCCCTACTTTCCTGTGGCATGTAGTAGTTGCTTCCCTCATAGACCAAAGTCATACAAGGCCCAAACACTTTCCTCCTTTTTAGTAGTAGTGTAGTTATTTTATCACAGGAGATACAATAACAACACCCCACTATGGACCAGGAACGTAGTTCCGGCGTGGGTGTCACTACTACTTACAAGACAATCTATAACTCCTTCAAAGTCATCTTTAAGGGAAACAATAACATAGGATTGTCACATTTCTCAGAGCAGACCTCACACATCGACCACTCCACGAGACAATATCTTATCCCAAGGAAGCGGTCACTCCATTCACCTCTGAATCCGCATTAGACGTGGATTCGGTGTAATATCTCTACCCCCTTTTGGAGAGCAATCCAAACAAATAACCTCATCAGTCAGTCATAAATCGATATTTGGACTTCAGACACTCATATAAATCCTTGCAGATTGATAGGTTCAGACCAGTACTTCAGATAAATAACCTATGTGAATATAATAAAAAAGGATGATCATCAAGCAAGACGACATCAAGCATACAACCTCACATAGATAGACACAAAACAGGCTTATTCACAATAGAATCTGGCATATATGAATAAATTTAACATATAACTCAAAAGAAAGCCCATAGGAAAAATAGTCTCAAGTCCTTAGTTCAAATTCCATATAGATTCAAGTGGATGGTCCAAACTTGAAAAGGCACAAGTGGAGGTCTAACATTACCTACATCCCCTCATCCTAACGAAAGTAAACAGGATGACTTAATTGTTAGCCCCCTTACTGTCATTCTTACTGCTCTAGGGTCAAATACCACTTTTGTAGAGAGAACGTCATGCAGATCTACTATCTTCCATGATTATATAGATTGATCCACCACTTGGGACCCAGACTCAAACATCTCAGTCCATACTCATAATACCTTTCAGTTTTCCTTACCCCATCTCTCCTCAATGTGCTGAGACGGCTCCTAGCCTGACACTTAGGAGAGGATCTATACTTTCAACTATTGACAGAGGAATGTTAT